GGGAATGGGGGGAGAAGACAAAGATGGATACTGTCTAGCATTTGCCTATTACTCAGTTGAACTATTGTTTCAGTTTTAAATACTCCCCTCGTCCAAGCCCATTTGTAGTAACTAAGGTAACAAAGCAAGAGTTACACTTAGTTCTAGTTTTCGACCGGCAAATTAAAGGCTCGACGAAATATGAACAACATGGACCAACTGAGTTGTAGTGACCCTCATAAATACAACAAATTAGTTTTTTTTAATTAGGCACAATTCAAAAATCTTGATCATTACAATATAATACGTTCTCCAATATTTTGACTGTAAAATAACATCAGTGACCCAAAACATGAGAAGAATCCTAAGTAAGAGACCAATGACCAATGAAGGCCTGCTCTTGGAAATGTGATATACACAGACAGGAGCAAATAGTTATCAATGCTAGGCTTTGATAAGATAAGTGTGTATCAAGACATTACCAAGAGTAACTGTTGAACAAAGATTTTAAGAGAGAAAGCATATAATTAATTGTACATTTGCAAACATCTTTCTTTTCAAAAACAGAACAGTCAGAGTGAATGAACAAATTTGAGCCATTGAAATTTCTATATCAGAAGTGGGACTAACGAGGAGTGGATAAAAATAACGACAATCTATTTTAACATGATAAACAGATGTACCTGTGTTTTTGTTCCTTCCTGATCTGTCTCCCCAGGTAAGGTATCTGATGGAGCAGGAACTTCATCTAAGTAGGAGGTGTCTTCATCTAGGGCCAAGTCATCTCCAAGAGCTTCTAATTCTGTATAAAAATAACCATAATTGTGACGAACAAGTGTCAATTGGTCCATTAGGCTCCCATTGAAGAACCACACTAGCTTATTAAAACTACCATGAGTTTACAGAACTGCTGACCAAAAAACAACCTGAAATGTGAAACAACAAACCTGCTTCAAGGTCAGCCTCGTCAATGTCTTCTGGCATTCCATATGATCTTCCTAAGGTGTCTTGAACCTCATTAGCAATCTCAAGCATGTCAGCCATGTCATCTTGAAGATCCTTGAGGAACAGTTATAAAATGTTCATAAATCATTACAATAAAATTAAAAGGTTATAATTGCATCATGATACCAAAGTAAAATTTGGGTAACTTTTGTGGAGATCATATCTTCATTTTTAAAAAGACTATTACAGTAAATCTTTGTAGCTTAGAAGTAATAACTAGAGCATGTGTTCTAAAGAAGTTTGCCTTGTATGTCATTGACTCATGGCTATGCTCAGTCTTGTATTATGCTACCATTGCTGATTCCATGAGCTTGAAATATGAATCTTTGGTTTTCCTGCCCAGGATATCTAGGAGTAAGAACATAACTTTCTACCTGGAGGAAAACAGTATCACAATCAAGACATAATATTATGACTTCACTATACCTCAATTTCATCAATATTCACTTTCTTGTATTCCTTTTTCATTTCTTTAAGTCCTAACTTCATAGCATCAACCTAAGAATAAAACATTGCAAAAATAATGATAACAATACAAGCAAATGACACTAATTACAATGATGATCATATAAATTACTTTACATTGATAATCTGTAGTACTCAGGGGCAGGTAACTGACATCCACCCATCCAGAAAAGTGAAAGGACAGAGAAGGGGAAAGTGGAGTACTATCACACTCGGTGTGTAATCAGAATGACTCTAGGGTGGTCACAGCCACAAAATTGCTTTGAAACAAATTAATAGCAGAGTAACTTGGATACTCTTAATGAAGAAATTACTAATCAATAAAGAAGTTCATGAAAACAGACTGTGCAAAAATAAAACTTCTCTAGACACCCATCACCTAAATGCAGAATTACCGTTGTTTTGGTATCTTTTAATGTCTGTGTTGCATAATTTGTTTGGTCCATGTTAAAAGACTGCTGACGGAGATTCTCAAGTTGACTTTCATATCTGGTTGGACAAAAAAATCATATATTTATTTGAAAAGAAATGGAATGCTCTATCACAGTCAAACATAATTCATCACTTCATCAATCTAAATTATCAATGTCCTTTATGCCTCTCCTCTACTGAAAGCTATAATGGTGCAAATTTACATGACTGTACTTGAAGTTTGAAGATTTACTCCTGGATATATTTGACTTGTGTTAGCGAAAGGATTCATGAAAAAAGAAAAAATTGAATATGGTCTATATGCCAAGCTTGTCAACTGGTACAGAGTGTCACTACCTATAAGCAAGTAAACTTACTGTTTCTTTTGTTTCAGTACTCTAAGTGCTCTTTGCTTGATCATATTCTGTAATTGATAACCATTCAAAGTTGAGCAAGTTAAAAAAAAATTGTGAAGTACAAGATATACTGTGTTTGTACTAAACAGAAGGGGAAGGCCAGGTAAAGAATATTCTGCACAGTGCAATGTTATATAAAAAATACATAAAGAAAGAGGAACAAGGAGGTTACAAGGATTGCAAATGAAACACTTTGACAAAACTGATGTCATGCAGCTTGTCTAGGTGTTATGTCAGATTCTTTCAGGCTAAAAGTATACCTCAACAAATACACGAGTAATAATTCAAATCTTCAAAACACAAGCACCAGGCATTTTTAAAAAAAGCCTACGTTTTACAAATTTTTTTAAGGGGGATGGGGGAGGGGTGTTGCCCCAGTCCCTCAGAGAGGCCCTGTATGCGTTGCAGTTTTGCCACTTCCAAAACCTCCCTGTTTTAGTCGCAAAGGGGTAGAATCCCTTATTTTCCATGCCTTGATGACTTCTCATCCCATTTCAAAAACATTTTAAAATATGAAATGCGTTAAAAGAAAAAAAAGACTGACGGAGATGCAAACATATGTGCTAAACTGTTGTTCTTGCAATTGTAAAGAAGTTCAGTACAAGTATTATCAAGAAGTGCAGGTCTGACTGTAACAGTTGTACATATACGTGTTCACCAATAAGGAACGAGTATATCTTATATAACATGTAATTTTATCGCACTCGAATCGTTTTAACAAAAGTTAACTGCTACAAAATGAACTGATACAGACAGACTAAGCCTGAGCCTGAGCCATTGGCAAAATTTCCCAACATACCTTTGATGGTCCATCCCTCATTTTCTTCATTTGATCTTTGTACTTCATTAGTTCAGCATCAAGCTTACTAATTTTTTTCTCAATGGACTCTCCTCGACTGTCAACCTAAATACGTACCAAACACAATATTTCTTAAAGAACGACAGAACTCTGGCAGACATGTTGAATTCGATTTTCGAACTGATCTCAATCTTACGTTAGCTATAGCATCAGTGAGATTTGGTGGTGGTCCTTTTGGTTTCCCTCGTCCAAAAAGCCTATTCATCTTTCAGAAAAATGTACGCTTTGAGCTCTTCTTGACGAAAACCACTCTGCGATCACCACTACTTTTACTGTTTCCGACTGATTGGAAAGTTTACGAACTGTTGCGTCACGTGACCAAGCTCCAAATATAGACTGGCAATATATGACGTTATGATACATTTTGGAACGTGATGCGTGACAAAAAACGTCAGAGAAAAGGTCGTAGCGAAGCCTCTTCGAATGCATTGAGCCACCCCTTATATGGAGTCGAGAAAGGAAAACGATACTCACAAACAATCCATCGTGGCTTTCTTTGCTCAAACAGCAAACAAAACCGGGCTATCTCATGTTTTTCTGTAAATTTTTTTCTAAAGCTTGCGTCGAATGAGCTTGATTCTCAAGGTAATTAATTTTGAAAGTAATGATAGCTTTCTCCCGAGAAAAAATTTATATTAAGATCTAAATCAAATATTTTCATCCGACATTTTCATTCACGAACAAGTATTGCGTGCAACGAAAACAATATTGATTGGAAATATCTAGTTTTGCAGCGAATAAAGTCCCAGTTATTTTCCCCAATTTGGAGCTAATAAGCCTTGTCACTTGGCTTGGTGAAGGTGGACAGTAGCTTTAAAATTACCAAATTTGTGTAAGCAATATTCAACTTTCCCAATACAAATGTAAATCTTGAGCAAACTTCGGTTATCTTATGGCGTATGAATTCAGGTTTTTCATTCGCGTGTGTAAGAAGATGAAATAGTTCAAAGTACTTAACTAAAATATCGAGATGATAAGAAATAAAACAGTATTTTTCATTTTGCGAGATTGGGTTTATTCGGGCTGTTTTCTGACTATTATTTATTCAGGTGTTATAAACAAATATGCTACTATTTTACCTTTTTATCCTCTAAGATTGAATGATCTTAAAGAATCTTACTCTTAATCACTTGCCTTAAAAACAATATTTTATTAAAAGTCGTAAATTTCCAAGGGTGAAATACAATTTCATGAAATTCGAATGAAAGAGGTAAAATCATGTACTATGAAAAAAAAATATTGTCAATCTCCCCAGCTTCTAATATGTTAAGTTAGACACCCTAGCAACCAAATCAGTCAAGAAAAAATTTATTTCGATTTTACGGCATAATCGTCGTGGTCGCAAAACAAGGAAAAATTTTTAGGCTGATTGTTTTAGATAATACCCAACTTAGTTGGAGCATCCAAGAGAACTATGCTGTAGACACCGCTGGAAAAGAAATAGTGGATTACTCATTCAGTCATTTTGCCATTCTTTATGGCTACAATTTACACCTCGGAAGCGAAATACAATGGCTCCAAAACTGTGGGAATGAGATATCTTAACAGATATATCACTGATCAAGGACAACTTGAAACTACACCACTTGAAGAGTTTATTGAAGATCTACTGCCGAAAGACTTTAAAAAGGCGTTTTGTATTTGATCGCAGAAGTAAATTTTCCTTCGTATTTATTCAGCATGGGAAGGATTCTGAAAGGTGGACATTGGAAAGTAAACAAGGTGCAACTCACAACATGGCTCCCAACTGCGTATTATTACATCTTCTTTGGCTCCTTGGGGTCTCTTTTTCCTTTCCTGAACTTGTACTATCGAGCTGTTGGAATGGACCCTTGGCAGATAGGAATTCTGGGAGGGATTCGCCCCCTCATTGCCTTACTTTGTGCTCCTGTTTGGAGCTTTGTGTCTAATAGGTATAAGATAAGAAAACTTGTACTGGTCACTTCGCTTGTCAGTTGGATTGTGTTCACTATCCCGCTAATGTTTGTTTCTCATTCGTCAGCCAGCGAGCCTTGCTTAAATCAAGGAAACTACACTGCTCGACTTAGCTCTCAACATGAATATTTCCTGCCCGATCAGGAAAAAAGGGAATTCGGTCTACCTGTCGGTCTTTCGCTCGAGAAAGGACAGCTCTCAGTTTATGAGGAGCAAAACACTCGCTACTTTCAAAAAAACAGTACAACTGGAAAGGCTTTCAAAGGAAATGCAAAGAATGATGCAACGAAAGGAGAAAAATTGGACCATTCTCGATTCCCTTCTTTGAAAAGGCAATTTTTCAACAGTTTGGAAAGGTCGGGACTGAAATTTGAGGCTAAAACAGATAGAAAAGCTGGAAACGGTCAGCGAAAACCGTACGACTTTAAATCTCGGGGAGCACCATATCTTAACAGGAGAAAGAACCCTTACTCCAGTGTGATATTCAACGAGATGCTTTTTATTGTGTTTGTAGGAGAAATACTTCAATCGCCAATAGATGATCTTAACACTCATTTTGATGGGACATTCTTGGAGCATTTAGGTGTGCTATACCAAAACGTAGCCAACAACAATATCTATAGTTCAGTTGGTATTGGACTTGTAGCTTTGAGTACAGGTTTATTGCTTCATTTCGCCCCTAAAATAACAATCTGTGACATTGAATATGCAAATTACCATATAGCCTTCTTCATCTTTTCTCTACTTATGACGGTTGCCATAGCAATTTCGCTCAGATTTGATTTCTCCTATAGAAGGTGCCGTCGCAGCTTTGAAATTCAAGAGTCACTGCGGCTGCTGGTATCATCTCAACATTTTACCTTCGTTTTCATCGTTTTGATCATGGGAATGCTCCGAGGGGTTCTCTTTAACTTTGTTTACTGGAATATAGTGGATATAGGAGGCTCGGATCTCGTTGTGGGCTTCACGGTTGTCAGTCAGTATTTTTCGGATGCGATTATGACCCTGTCCGCACCGATTGTCATGACCTACATGGGATATATCGGGATGGTGTACCTTGGCCTTGCATGCTATGCCCTGCGATTCTTGATCTACTCTTGGCTTAGCACCCCTAACTCCTCATGGGTTACCCCACCGGTTGAGCTTCTGCAAGGAATCTCCAATTCAATGGCTTGGTCAGCATTCCTCTTGTACGTCACTAGCTACACTCCAAAATCGACCTTCCCAACAGGTTTATTTCTTCTTCAGGGTTTGTATTTGGGAGTAGGAGGAAGCATCGGGGGAATAGCCGGGGGGATTTTAATCCAGGGTTTTGATACTAAAGTGGCCTTTCGCATCTTGGGACTCGTCAGTATACTGACGTGTTTGTTATTTATGATGATTCAGCCGTCTGGAGAGCAAGAGTGTCTTCCTTCAGAAGCTGACACCATATTCTTTCTCGCTGACGAAGACGATTATTCCAGTAACAACAGTGAGGATGAAATCTTTGATTACAGTCAAAAAGGAGTGGTTTACATTCCTTCCAAAACGCAAAGCAAAGGATCATTGCAAGCAAAGAAAATGGTGTTGCCTTCCTACAGTTCTCCTTTGGTGCCAATTTGTATGTCGCTAGTTAAGAAAGAAAACAAACAACTACAAACTACCTAGGGTCAACTCTGCAGCAACTCACGGCACCAGTGCATTAGTTAGTTATCATTTTTTTTCAAGTTAACGATTAGCAAGATGCAAAATACACGCCTTATGACTGAACCGTTTCCTAATAATTCAATAGATAAATTTAAAGCTGGATCGAAAAAGTAAAAGATGGAAAGTGGTCTATGTAGGGGAGTTTTAATATGACAAACCAATCGGAAACGTTTTTTCGTAACACCAACTTCGTGCTCTAAGAAACTTACGCTTCTTACTGATACTCGCTTTCGATGTACTTAGCTTTGTTTCCAAAGGATCTTGCCAGATTGAGCCATATCAACGATGCAAGCTTTCTCTTTTTTTGCACAGCATTAAATTAGCCGTCCACTGTTTTGTACCGATTTGTGCTTCATCAATACTCGTTTAAGGAAGGTAAGGATAAAACTTGCTATTGACTAACATGAAGTCGGACCCCTCCCTTGCGATGAGTTAGGCTACAGAGGGAATGGCCGTGGCAGAGAGTTGGGATTTCAGCAAAGGAAGCTAGATGTGTGATATAACCCGCGATTTTTCAGGGAAAGTACAGTCTCTACTCTTGAAAAATTATAATTATACTGTAAAAAATAAATAATAAATGAAACAGTAAAAACACTAGGAATTTATCTACTTCATGGTGAGTTCACTACAGTATATCTAATTTTCAGCCTGAAGCAATTTTACCACACCAATACGAACTGAATTACTTTTGAATACATGCCACTTTTTTTGTTGGATACAACGTTCTCTGGGGACAATTCGGGCCGCACTTCATATTGATGTCGTGACTCATAGTCATGACAAACTCACCATTCAAGGCGTCATGGAAATTTACTTCTAAATGCTATATTATATAATCACACCTTTTTGATTTCATCAGGACATCGGCCACTTTTAAAGAAAATGTAAAGGGTATGCACGAAACGTTGTTGTATTTCACATTAAATTTGTACGTCGTTAGACTGGCTTAAATTTCAATGCACTTCGTTTGCACGGTTTCTTAACTTACTGAAAAGGGTCACCATAACTTAGTGCAGAATTATCGGAGCTATTTAATTAACAAAGGGCAATGACCTCCTGCTTTTAAAACCGATCAAAACGGATAAAGAAAGCCGGGATTTTGTTGAATCGTTGCTATTAACTGTCTTCCTTAATTGTGTAACTTTGTCTCTGCGGACCGGCCCGGCTGATATTGATGCTCAATTCCGTTATACGTATGAATATGCTAAGAACAATACTATAAAGTTACGTAAGTTATCTTTATATCTACAGTACAGCAAGTAACAGTCTAATCTTAGCTCCCGTGACGAAAAGTTCAGGTTAGATTCAGTTTTCACTGATGAGCAACGCTGACACAAAACGGGCTGAAGTTCAAATTACTGGACATCGGTATATAATTGGAGATTTCACTTTTCAGGTAAGGCTTTCTCTCGTTCGTGCGTTCGTTATTTTAGGAGAAATGAGGTTAATTACAATTTGCACAGACACCATTTTTTTACTTCAGCAATTAGTTTCTGATTGTAAAGTCAAAGTTATTCCGTTGTAACCTATCATTTACAGCGACGCACTCTGTAAACGACATTTTTACCATCAATTAAAAAATGTTCCCAGTTTATGTTAATTTTTTATTCTTAAATGCATTTTTTCTTCTCAGTGAACCTCGTTTGGGGATCTAAGAGAGAAGAATCAAGTTTTCATCTTTCTGTTTATCATCATTGCTTTGTCATGGGCTGTCTTTTAAGTCAAGAGCAAAACAAATTTCATTACCGGCGAGGATTTTCTTTTCAACTTAATCACGCAAGAAGAAAGTTTCCCACAAGAAATACAAATCGACCATTTTCAATGTTGGCCATGAAAAAACTATCCCTCAGGTTACGAGACTGGCCCTCAAGTGAACCGGTGATTAGAACCTCTGCAACTGACAGGGAAAGGCTTTGGCGAGAATGGCGTCCAGGCAAGCTAGTGTGTCAGTAGTTCTTGAAAAAAAAAATTATTTAGCTAATAAGTTTGGTCAAAACTGGGTTTCGTTGGATTGTTCATTAACTATATAAGACACGATCTTTTGTTTTCATCAATATTTACAAAATATCCCTGCGATATTTTATTGTTAGGAGCTTTTCCTGAAGGACCTGTAGATTATTTAGGTAACTCGTTGCCATGGTCGCACCATGTTATTGCAATATTGGATACTGACTTAGGATCGTTGAACCGTAGTCATTCAATTAAATCGCACAAAATGACTGAGTGTATATATTGTGAACAAATTACCCGAAACATTTTACGAAAATTGCCTTTGCGAACATGAAACGGTACAGATGTTATAACATTTTAATTCCTTCAAGCTGCGGCAAATAAGACTCGTAGCTAGAATCGGAACACTTCTCCTAAAGTGTATTCTCAAAGAGCACCGAAGCACGTCGCGCCAATATGTCGTGATTGTGGTAATTCAAGAGCATCGTGTTAAGATCATTTGATCGCAAGCAGAGATCAGAAACATTGGAAAAAGATATAAGTTCATTACTATCATCCCAAAACTTCATATTTTCAAAAGATGCGAATTAATCAAAGTAGCGGACGATAACTTCTTTAAAGACCTTTTAATTTTGGGCGGGACAATGCTCCATTAAAAAATTATTCTATGACAGTGATTGTGTTAATAGCTGGTTAAACTCTCAAGAACAATTTGGACAGTAAATTGAGTGTAATATAATCACAATAACCAAATAAGAAGATGGTTCGCCTTCGATTTAGCCCTGCACGATCCCGAGTAATGGCGAACAGACGAGTAATCTTAGCCAAAAAAAACTTTTTGTAATGTATTTTTGGCTAAAAATAACAATGGAGAATGAGTTTTTTTTTTTTCACATATTACACTCACATAAAAGAAATAACGAAATTTACGAAAATTCGCCCCATCTGGGATCGAACCTGCTATGTGATTCGTACCAATAACGCCAGTGAGTGCTCCAGTAGACATGCTTAGTGTCCTGGGCTCCATGATCATAGATCAGGGGATTGGTGAAAAGGTTTCTGAAAACATTCATGAGAACATTGGTGACCCAGGGTCTATGAGAGCGCTTTTAATTAAACTTTTAGAAGAGAAAGCATCGGATTAACACATAATTTACCCCAAAATCCTCCCATTCTCCTATAAGATTCAAATACTGACAACAGCTTTATACGACCTGAAGTACGTGTAACTATTAATAGACGACCAGCAGGAAATATAACTAACGTAGAACTTGATTTAGTCTTATTAACACAAAGTCATACAGCCTGTGGAATCTTGAATTGCTGTGTTAATAAACTCCTTCGTTCACAATGCGATGAGCTGTGGCTGTCCGGAATGGACCAGCTGTGATCTGATGACCGCTTTTCAGAAGCCGCCAATCATTGTACGACCATACGTTCCAACCAATGGCGCCGACCCAGTCACTCTTGGCGGGGAAGTTCGCGGTCCACCAAGGTGCCCTCCATATGTGTTTGACATCACTTGTGCGCTCGAGTGAAAAGGTTGTGCGACCAACGTAACTGGTGTCATGCAACTTGTAACGGGAAAACGGTTTGATCCCATCAGGACCGGAGAATATCCAGTTGCCACGGCAGTCAGTGGCGTCGGCCATATTATTTGCTCGATTACAAATCTACAGAGAAACAAATGGATTGCTTCGTATCATTAAGGTGGCTGGTACCAGTTTTCGTCTTTTTGATGGGTTGTAACTTTGAAAGAACTCAACAAAAAGACTGACCAAGGCCAGTTGAACACTTTTACAGGGTTGAATTATATAATCATTGGCTATCCAAAATAAGTGTCAATTCGTCACTAGCACTTTCCACGGCAACGCTTTCAAAGGACTATTCAGACGCATTTTTTAGCTTATGGCTCAAATAATTTGAAAACTAACCGGGTGACCCCGTGATTTTTCTTAGCGATTGCTTTCGGCTCTTGAAAAGGAAAATGCACAAAGATTTTTAAAAAATTCTACGGAGCAGAATTTCAGAAAATCTAGAAAACGGCAATTTTCACGCATCGCAAACGTCCTCCCGTATAATTTTCTATTTTTTTTTCTGACGATTCCTTTCAACGTTATTATCATATTGGAACAATAAAAAAAAGTGGTCACCGGACTTGTTTTCATGCAATAGCTTTCGTGAGTTTAGCAATTCCCACGCGCATTCTCGCGCATTTAAAATTCTGGGTTCTATGAGATCGACATTTGCTCATGATCTGTTATAGCTACCGCTGACTATCGCGTGTGTTCGCGCGAGCACCCACGATCTCATGTTTACAGACATTTGCCACTCAGAAAATTATTCAATAGCTGTCGAAGAGAGCCTCCCGGGCTCATCTTAAAGAAACTACTCACAACTTCTGGCTATATTATATTATTTTCACAATCTTCTTTCACTTCAGGCAAATTATCCTTCACTTGAGTTCTCCTTTTTTCGCCGTCGCAAGATTTCATATCGGTTGGATATTTCTTTTAGATGTGAAGCAACCTTTATGCCTCCGAGAATCGTCTTCTTTATCTTCGTTTTTGTCTCCTGCATACGCAGTGGCCGTTCAACACATTAAATACACGCTGTTAGTAAACTTCTTACAAAAGTAAAAAAAAGCCTCGCGCTGCCATCTTTGTTTTGAATTTTCGTCTTTTAATCTCGCGCTTCTTTCTCATGTTTCTCTCGCGCGTGACACAAGAGTGACCTGTTCCCCGCGCGAGGAAACTAGTACTAGCCACCCTAAATACAATAAAAAATAAGATTGGGATAACGCAAAGAAGAAATTTCTCTGCAAGTTTAATTAGCCTTCATTTTTTAGTTAAATGCAGACTTCACGATATTCTTGAACGTGATTGGGGCTGGTTGCGGTTTATCAAACTTGTAAACCTCATACTGAAAACTTCAATTAAGGTGG